CGGCGTGACGCTGCGTGGCGTCTCCACAGACCCGCCGTACATCTCGAACGCCAAGAACACGGGCGCGTCGGTGGGACAGAAGGGCATCCTGCAGTGCGAGGCCTCGGCCGTCCCCGTCGCGGAGTTCCAGTGGTTCAAGGAGGACACCAGGTCAGGGGGTGCGGAGCCAGAGGCTGGAAGGGTGGGGGACAACCATGCCAGCCCCGTGGCGGGAGGGTTGGCTGGCGATGATCGAGGAGGAAGGATGGGATCGGCTCGTTTTGGTGGGTCTGAGCGCTTGGCTGAGGGTGTCCCAGGGTCGTTTCTTCTGGAGATGGTGAGTGGCTCCTGGGAGGTAACGCGGGCCACGTGGATCAGGCCCTGATGGGTTACGGGATGGAGAGCACGGCGTGCTTGTGGGCAGCGTGGTGGGGTGAAGGGCTCATCTTGGTGGGACGCAGGGAGTCTGGCGGGGGAAGATGTGTGTCGGTAATGGTGCTGGGTGGCGGGAGGGGTGTGTGGCAGAGCGCCCGTACGGCTCACTGAGCAGCGTTGTCTCTGGGTCGCTGCAGGTTAGCGAACGGGCTGGAGGGCGTGCGGATCGAGAGCAAGGGCCGCCTGTCGACACTGACCTTCTTCAACGTCTCGGAGAAGGACTATGGCAACTACACGTGCGTGGCCACGAACAAGCTGGGCAACACCAACGCCAGCATCATCCTGTACGGTAGGTGCCCTGTTTTCTTTGCAGCAAGGTACAGCTTCTGAGGAGGAAGAAGAGGATGAGCAGGATAAAAGGAGCAGGTGGCGGCAAGGCGGGCGTCTGGCCAGCGATGGGGCGACGGAGCAGATCTGGATATATTTAATGTAGGCACCGTGTAGAGGTGCCAAATGGCAGCAGCGTCGAGGTCCCACAGAGAGGATGGATCGGATGAGGAGATGTGCATCGGCCCGAGCGGGCACGCAGAACTGGGTGGCGGTCGGTGGTGGGCACAGCGCTCGCGGACGCACGGGTGTTTAGCAGAGCCGGGCACTGTCCGGCCGTTCGTCTTTGCGGAGAAGAGAGGAGGCTGCCACC